TTTATTTATATTTTTATTATATACATTGTTTTGTTTATTTGTTTTGGTTATTTATATATATTAATATGTTGTTTAAATTTTTAAGTTTACATATTTTTCATATATTTCTTATATTTGTTTATTTTTTTATTAAGAATTGCAAATGTGATCCCGATCGATTGCAATGACTGCAAGCGATCTATGCTCGGCTGAATATAATGAGGTTATATCATTAAGTTCACGACTGGTGCTATAAGGTTTGTGGACGCTGCCTTCTTTATTCACCAAAACGAGATAACTCTCTTGATGGCAATAAAAGTATAATAAAAGTTTAAGGACTTAAGTTTTTCACTTTTTCTTAGCGCAAATTTGTACGAGTTACAAAAATTCTAACAAATACATTGTACCTTCAATTGTTGCAGTGTTGGCTGCAAAACTGAAAGAAACCATAGGAAAACCAAACACGCAACGTATACCTAAAAATTTTGCTAGAGTTTGCACACAACCGTATGAAATATTTTGAAGAAAATACATCACGTTCTATATTTTAATAACTAGCATTAGTCTGATTAAACGACAATGGAGTCAAGCCCCCTTTTTGTTTTTCTTTTTTTTTCTCTTTAGATTCCTTATGTGCCTTGGCTTAAGTGCGCGTGTGTGTGTGCGCGTTAGAGTTTATGAGCGTGCGAATGCGAGTGTGTAAATATTACCTAACTATATGGAAGCTCAAAAGTGAAATAATAAACATCTACCTTTTCATGCATTGCCTTAACCATCAATAGTAACAGCTGAAGCAGTTCTTGATGTTCCTTCTTGTCAACGAATACCTTTCGATCACTTTGCTTGCATGCATGCGTAGTTAAGTAAAAACTGAGCTTATATATGGATATATATAGATATATATGTATATATTTATTTACATGCACATATACGTAGCAAGGAAAAGTAATTGTATCTATCGACTTTGCTGTTAACACGAATAATGCATTAGTGATGGATATGATGGTTGATGGTTGATGGTTGATGGTTGACTAGAAGGTGGCGTTGCACTTGATTCAAGAGTTTATTATATGAAAAAATATCCAAACAGACAAGCATTCGCTTCTTCTGTCATCAGCAAAGCGAGCATAACATGGTTGGTTCTCGTTTATGTTTTATGAAACGACACGTCCATCTACTTCACGTAGCAAAGGCGTTGACTGTATAACTATGTATTCGCATAAACGTATCCCTACTTGGGCACATGACTGTCCAACTTAAAGAAAAGCATTACGTAGACTTTTACACCTTTTCCTTGTAGTGCAAGATGCATTTTATCGCAGTTGAGAATTATGATCAGAAGAATTGGTTAGAAACTCTTATTACACTTACAGTTAAGAATATGTGTTCAATTTTCAATATCGTACGTAACGTTGAAAGACAAATGATGGAGATTTTTGAATTTTTATAGTTAATAGTCTACTTCGACTTTGAAAGCAAAGATCTACGAGTGTTTATATACGTGTTTCAGGGTTGGTCATAATTTAGATGAAACGCAGCAAGACAAAGTTCTTTTTCTAGAAAACTTTTTATCTCTACTTTTTGGGAAAAGAAATAACGTCTTCGGTAGACGCATTTTGAAGCAACCATCGAATTTCTACTTACTTTCAATTCGATATATTTTCAGCCGCCTTCACGTATTTGTTCAAATAATTCGCGCGTTAGGAAGTTAAGTCAGACTTCTCTTAAATTTTTTATATCCGCTTTTAGCGTAGCTTCACCTAATTCGTTCATGAAAATCTTTACAATTTGTTTCCACACCTTCATGGCCTCAAAAGTAAGATGAACGTAATTTGCCATTATTGCAATCCTTTTACGCGAAATATTCTTCATTTTAATAAGATTTCTGAGATTTCATAGAACCACCATATTTGTAAATACTTATACAGCCTTATAATCGTTTATATCATAAGGAGAAGAAAAGTTACTTAAAGCTTACGCTGTTTCTGTATTACATTGAGTGAGGGATGTGTGTAAGGTGCTATCGTTGTAAGACAGTATACTATGCTTGTTATTTATTTTGTAATATTTAGATGCCCGCAACTTAGAAATCTTACAGAGTAGTATATTTATATTATATTTTGTTGAATAGCGTGAGCTGGAAAACCTATTTAATTAGTTCGGCCCGATTGAATGGGCATCAGTCTGCTTAATCCATGAGTTTTTAAAGTCGTAAAAGATCAATGTACCTTTACCTTGTTGCTCTATCGATTTCGCTAAGACGTCATGTTAAGAAACAGCGCAAAAACATATGAAAGTTCACGGATCGATTTAGCTATCTGTCTGCCTGGTGTTTCTGTCTATCGTTCTCTTTAATATTCGACTTCCTAAAATCGCAAAAATTGGATCTAGAGAACTCATAGAGCACGTGATGTAGATGATTCGTCGTTTTCGCGAGGGTATCTGGTGAAAAAACAATGCAAAGGACTCAATCTTAACCCAATTCTCCATGTAGAACCTATTTTATTATCAGCCCTTTTGTCCGTCCATCAGTCCTTTTAGGGCCTCAAAACACCTGCAGGATTATTTTCTGATTAAACAAAGTTGTATACAAATTATTGAGAATATATGCGCTTAATCTCGAAAGACCCACAATACATGTAAACAAATTTATTCAAACATTCTCAATTGTATGGAATTTTTATTTTCTCAGATGGTTGGAATTTGTATACTAGTTATTCTCGTACGTGCCTTTGAAAGCAGCATTTTTTAGCAAACGTTTACGTAACTCTGACGGAGCATACCGCAAATGATGTGCGTTTACACTTGGTGACTTATCTTGTTCAAAATATTCTACGTTCCGAGTTTTGGTTTTAAATTTCATGGCCACATGTTGACTTAAGGACTTCATGGCTAGTTCATATAATTTGAAAAACTCTGGTAACTGAGCTTTTACTATGTTTCGTACTCAGTTCAG